ATATATAAATATAAACTTAGATTTTAAGTTAACCTAATTAACATACTCATTTATGTCTATCATTTCATATACTTGTTTTTTGTGGTAACATTAAAAATCCCTAAGTTTTTAGTATAAAGCACTTTATTTTTAACCATATTCAGTGTGTTTCACGCAGATCTTTGACACTTCTCTAGTGCAGCTTTCCATCTGCTCTCTCCATTTCTTGGTATTGTCTTCCTTTAGCCCATCCCGTACACTCAACTTTGCACTCTTCTGTTCCTGTTTGTGTGCTGCTTTAGGTTTCATGCACTACTTATTTGCAGGAAGTAAATATTTAAAAGCTCATCACTTTTCAAGTATTTTACTTTTATCCTGTGTCTGCATTTACCGTGCATCTCTTCCTGACAGCATACATGGGAGGGTCCTTTTGGTTTGTAGTCTTATATGTTTGTATTTGTAAAATACAGACTGCTATGTATTTACCTTTTTATATTTTGTTTTTAAAGTAATATTGAATTCTCTGCCTTTTAATTTTTTTTTTAATTATGTTTTTTGGGGTTTTTTTGGTACCAGGGATCGAACAGTCTCAGCCTTTTAATGTGAAATATTTACTTCTTTCAATATGGTGTGTTGATATGGTTGATATGCTTGTATTTAGGTTTTCTTTGTCTGTCTCAAAAAATAGAGTTCTTTTGAAGAGTTACAAACTGTCCTTACCTCACAGTTCACACAAATGCAGATTGTCAGCTGAGTTTGGTCCCCAGGTAATAGTGTGCTAAGTCCTTTTACACATTGTACTTTGCTAGATTCTTCTCTTCTATAGGTAGGAGACATTAGAAAAAAGTAAAAGGCCTGAACATTGAAAGTGACCTCATTTTTTTCTCCATTTAAAAAAAAAATGCATAGGTAATTAATTTTCAAATTTTCACCATTCCCACAACCCTGAAACCAGCCACATCATGTTTTATCAGTGATAACAAAACTAACTAGCCAGTATTTTATCCTCGGAGGACTGCAGTATAACTCTGCAGGCCTCTTTAAATTTGGTTCTAATAACTTTAACTGGATGTTAAGTGGTTCTAACTCTCAGTATCGCTTTTTATTTCTTCTTCAGGACACAGCCAGTGTGAAGTCCTCTAGTAGTCTGGAACCCAACCTCTTTTGTGATGAAGAAATCCCCATCAAGTCAGAGGAAGTGGTGACTCATATGTGGACGGCACCTTCATTCTGCGCAGAACATGCTTATTCTTCTGCTTCTAAGAGCTGTTCTCAAGGTACTGCCCTTTAGGAAAGTGAGTGTGGTACACACATCTGTAATCCTTGCACCCAAGAGAGACTGAAAAAGGATTGTAAGTGTGAGGATAGTCTGGACTACTTAGTGAGACTCTCAAAAACAAAAGCATGAAAAAATAAATCTTAAGAAGATAAGACTTAAAAAGAGAGAGAAAAAACATTGTATTAGGACTGTGAATCCCTGGCTGGGGAGATAGTTCAGCAGTGTAAGCGCTTGCCTGGCAAGCACAAGGACCCGGGTTTGAGTCCCACGACCACATGCTGTGGCACGTGCCTGTAGTCTCAGCCCTGGGGCGGGTGAGAGAGGAGGATCACTACAAGTCTGAGCTGTGTAGCTGTCCCAAATAAATAAAAAGATTTAAAAAAAGAAATGACTGTGAATCCCTGAATGGAATATAGGGATTTCATTGAAATGCTAATAAACCAGAAATTGCTGTTTTGAGTTGGAAAAACCAATCGCAATTTCTGTTTTCTAACATTGGATGATAACCTGAAAACCCATATAGAGTTACAGAGTAATAATTAGAAGGCCATGTGGCCATATCTCTTGTTTCTGTAAAACACTCTGTAGGTAATCATTTACCTTAGATTTGATCACTGTCAGTCCTTGAAGATCTTGCTGCTTTTTAAGAATATGTATTTTGGATTTGGATAGTTTTCATTATTGGAAACTACTTCCTTCTATGGATGATTTCTGCATGATGTTTGCCTTTCTTTTTCCTGATGAAATAACTCACGCCACCTGGCACACAATTCTGGAAGTGGAGGTGTTTTTCTCTATATAAAATTTATGATTTTATTGAGCAGTATATTATTTGTTTTTGTAGGGTAGCTAACTGTTTAATTTATTGATATAATCCAAAATGGAGAGAAAATGAGAGATTTTGAAATAATCTGTAAAAAGAAGCAACTTTCAACCAGTTTTTTAAAGTGGACAGTTGAATTCTAGATTTTTTTTTATTTTACGTTTTTCACTTTGCTTTTACTTTCAAGGCTGTGGTGGCGTGTGCCTGTGTGGGAAATAGAGTCGGGAGAGTTGCTTCAGTCCAGGAATTGAAGGCCAGGTCGGGCCCAGTGTTGAGACCCGGTTTCAAAAAACAAAACCTTTGTTGTCACTTTTTAATGTTATGAGTCTAGATATGGAGGTGGGGAATTCCCCTAAACATTTACTTTGAAAACATTACATTTGTCCACATTTTTCTCTTTTTGGTTTTGTTTTATGATACTTTTTGGGAAAGGTACTAGCACCCCAAGGAAACAGCCTCGAAAGAGCCCTTTGGTTCCCCGAAGTTTGGAGCCTCCAGTGTTGGAGTTGTCACCTGGAGCTAAAGCCCAGCTGGAAGAACTTATGATGGTCGGGGACCTCTTGGAAGTGTCTCTGGATGAAACTCAACACATATGGCGAATTTTGCAGGCTACACACCCACCCTCGGAAGACAGATTCCTACATATCATGGAGGTATGGATTTAATGCTAACATGAATAGTGTTTTAAAAACTATTTAAAATGTTTTGGTTCCTTAGAGGTTCCACATATATTGACAGAGAGATGGCTGAGCGGGCAATGTTCAGCTCTTCAGCCGGAACAGTTTTACTTGGTGTTTATCTTTACTGAGGTTTAAATAATATTTCATTTTCTACAGAAGACAATTTCTTTTTGTGTGTGTGTGTGTGTTTTTTTTTTAAATTTTTTTTTTGAGAAATAAATATGAAAGAGAGTTTCACGGCTGATTAATAGGACAGTTTTGATAGTCAATACACTGTACATTGTTATCTTCTTAGTGGTTATCCATAGCACAAGAAGCAGATAGGATATTCTGTCCAAACACTGTTAGTATACCTCTTTCTTCTCATTGAATTAAGTGAAAGTAGCTGTAAACCTATCCTAACTATTTTATTTTTAATAAATTTTTAAAAAAAATTTATTTGTGTGTGTGTGTGTGTGTGTGTGGCCAGCTCAGTCCACCAGGGGGCGGGGCTGGCTGGCATGTGGTGCTAGGGGATTGAACCGCGGTCCCTGTGCTTTGCTGAGCTTGTTCTAAGTAGGTGCTTTAGACCACTGAGCCATCTCACCAGCCCACTATTTTATATATATATAAATACAAAATGATCTTTCCTTTGTATCTTTTTTTTTTTTTTTTTTTTTTTTTTTTTGTCCTGTCAGAGGTGAATATTCTATTGGCATCTAAATACTATAGGGCTGGAGAGATGGCTCAGTGGTCTAAAGCACCTACTTAGAACAAGCTTAGCAAAAGCATCAGGGACCGCGGTTCAATCCTCCAGCACCACATGCCAGCCAGCCCTGCCCCCTGGTGGGCTGAGCTGGTCTCTCTCTCTCTCTCTCTCTCTCTCTCTCTCTCTCTCAAATAAATAAATAAATAAATACTATAGGTGTTTGAATTCAACTAAACAATCTAACACTGTCTAGCAGTTTATAATATTAGTGGGTTATCCTCAGAAGTTACTGACTTGAGCCTTTTACAGCTCATCGTATTAATATGGATTTACTTTATATACCTCATTTTTATACTTTTCTGCTGGCTGGTTAAGACCAAGATATAGCAAAACCTATATAACAAGAAATGTAACTTTTGTAGCTGATAAGGTCAGCCAAGTACTGTCAGGATTTATCCTGTAGCCATGTACCACCCTTTGAACATCCTTTTGTCAGTGTCAGACATGAGGATGAGTCATGGCCATTGCTTGACCAGTTTGCTCTCTGTGAAAGCTTGAGAAAATGTTTTTTCTCTCCATGTGACTCTCCCCCAGAAGGCTATTTCTGCTGGGGAGATGGCTCAGTAGAATAAGCACCTGCCTGGCAAGCACAAGGTCCTGAATTCAATCCCTGGTAACCCTCCTCCCCCCAAAAAAAGAAGAAGGCTATTTCTACTGAAAATAGTGGGGTGGGGGAATCGAAAATGATAAGTTTAGAGTAGCCTCTGTAGTCCAGTCTCCCGCTCAGAGTTAGGCAGGAAAATGTAGTGGCAAAAAGGTAAGAGCATGGTTAAGTGCTTATAGCACTGGATTAGATGGACGGGAGGAGGCCACATTCTTATAGTATCAGTGCATAGCAGTTTGTAATTTACAGTGTCTTGGTTTTATTTTACTTTGCACTTGACTTTTACCTTTTACTATACTTTTTATTTTTGCCATACAGGATATTAAACACAGTGGCACTCTGGCTAGGAAAATGCCTACCGTTGAGCTACAACTCTGGGCCCCTTTCCCCCACCTTTATTTTTAACTTGAGACACATTCTCACTGAGTTGCCTAGGCTGGCCTCAAACTTGTGATCTTCCTTGTCTCAGCCTCTCAAGTAGTGAGGATTATGGTGTGAGCCACTATTTTCAGCACTGTACTGTGTTTTTACACCTGTAGTCTCATTTAATCTTTACTGTAATCGTGCAACAGAGGCACAGGTGGGGTAAATGGGACAAATATTTATTCTATTCCTCATATGGAGAAGTCAAAGATCAGATAGGTAGAAAGTTAGGGTCACACATCTAGTACAATTACGAGACTATTTCTTTCTTTCTTTTTGTGGAACCAGGGATTGAACTCAGGCCCTTGTGCTTGCCAGGGAAGCACTTATTCTACTGAACCGTCTCCCCGGCCCCACGAGACTATTTCTTAACTGTGCTTTCTCTCTTCTGTTTTAGCTGTGTTATTTCCATGTAATTGAATGGTATGATGTCACCAATTGTTGATACAGACACATTTAACTTACTGTACTTTAGTTTTGATTTGCAAGATAAATCTAAGGCAGCCTGATATACATACAGTGCTTTGTAGTTCAGAAAGCATTTTCTTCACCTGCATTACCTCATCTAATCCTCTGTAGTTCATGTAAGGAAACACAAAGTATAAAAAGGCTATATATTTTTTTCAAGGTATACTAAAATTAAGACATTTATAGTATAACTTACTTTTATTTATTTATTTTTTTTTCTTTATTTATTTGTGTGTGTGTGTGTGTGTGTGTGGCCAGCTCAGCCCACCAGGGGGCGGGGCTGGCTGGCATGTGGTGCTGGGGGATTGAACCG